GGGGAGGAACCTAATCTGTCCCACGTGGGAAGCCCGTCGGAATCGGCGCAAGCGAACATAAGATGGTGAAAGCCTGCGCCGGGATCGGAGGAGAAAGATGCAGTGCGAAGAGGACATCGATTAAGAAAAAAAAAAAAAAAAAAAAAAAATCACGGGACGTTTTACTTGTATTATTAACTTATTAAGTAAGTCGTGGTATTGAGAGCACCTCTTCGTCCCAATAATTTACGTATTATTTAATTCGAAAAAGAGGTGCTCCCAATAATTTACGTATTAGTATTTAATTCGATCTGCTTCGTCGTTCCAGATCGAATTAAATTTCATTATTTAATAGTACTAATACGTAAATAGGATTATGCGCCCCATTGTCATTATGATTATGATTCCGCCGGACGCGAGGAAGAACACGTGTCCTTTTTTTTTTTGCGCAGAGGCCATGCTAATCTTCTGTGTATCGTTCCAATGTTAACAGATGTCCTGACGGACTGTCCTTGGTTTTCTTTTTCTCTTTTTTTTTCTTTTTTTTTGATTGCCCAACCGAATTCGCGCGCTTTCTCTACAGCAGGGACGTCGCCGGTGGCCCCGATCCCGACGCGTGACTGCTCCCCAGCAGCCAGCAGATCTAAGGCATTGCACATCGGACACGCGGCGCGCAAGCCACTAATTATACTTCTTGATTTTTTTTTTATAAATTTTTTACTTTTCTGCAGTGCGAAGAAGGACATGTGGATTAGCGGAGAAGACGACAAAGACGACGATGACGACCGACCAAAAAAAGACAATAAAAAGACAAAAGAAAGACAAAAAAGAAGAAGAAGAAGAAGAAGAAGAAGAAGAAGAGGAAAAAGAAGGAGATGAAGAAGAAGAGGAAGAATGACAGAGGAAGTGTCCTTCGGGACATCCGTTAACTTGGAACGATACAGAGAAGATTAGCATGGCCCCTGCCCAAGGATGACAAAATATAAAATAAATAAAAATATAAGAAAGAAAAAAAAAGACGAAGAACAGAAGACAGAGGTAGCAGGGTTCCGTACCGCCACGTGGCAAACGCGTAGAGATAAGAGTTCCTGACCAATTAAAGACAAATGGGAAGTCATCAACATATATGCCCCCCCCGCTCGCCGGGCCTTCAGTCGTGGGCTTGCCCACTTGCAAACAAATAGAGTCGAGCAACGACGGCGGACAGAAATAGCAACATCCCCCGCCCCCCCTCCAAGAAAAAAAAAAAAAAAAAAAAAAAAAGGGTAAGAGCTGCCATCTTCCCCCGAATAGAACGCATGATAATTATGGCTGTATTTGGGGCAACTTCCAGTCTCGATACAGGGGTAATGACCCGGCGTTCTATTGTTCTATTCTTTGGAGCAAGATGGTGGGTCCAGAAATGCTAATGACCGATCTATTGATTGATTGATTGATCAACCGATCGATCCAACCATGCGATTGGATTCCATGTGATCTATTGATTGATTGATTGATTGATTGATTGATTGATTGATTGATTGATTGATTGAATGATTTGGTGGCAAGTCACGGGTTCGATTCCTTGCGGTTGATTCTCTGCTGAATTCCTGTGCATGCAGTGTCCTATGCCCATTCTGCGGGCCTTGCGACACCATTTGCCACATACCGAATCAGTGAATGTGATTGATTGAATGATTGATCAAGCTATCGATCCAACCATGGGATTGGATTGAATCGGATGAGATCGATCCATCGATCGATCGATTGATTGATTGATTGATTGATTGATTTGGTTGATTGAGTTGGTGTTAAGTCCCGGGTTCGATTCCTTGCGGTTGATTCTCTGCTGAATTCCTGTGCATGCAGTGTACTATGCCCATTCTGCGGGCCTTGCAACACCACTCCGCACATGAGAATCAGAGAATTTATAATGCGAAATTGTTGAACGTATCTGACAATCTTATAGAGCACGATACACTTGCCATTTTCATGTTCGGTGCATAGTGGAAAGGGGCCCTATCTCTGTTTCGGTATGTCGTATTCGTGCACTCGATGTTGGCTTATGTCGTACACAAGATGCCACCTTATGTCGTGCACAAGATGTCACCTTATGTCGTACACAAAGATCAGCCTTATGTCGCACAGTAAACGACCCTTATGTCGTACACTAGATGACCCTTGTGTCGTACACTCAATGACCTTCGTATCGTACACTAAATGACCTGGATGACCTTGTCTCGTACAGTAGACGTCACCTTGTGTAGTACACTAGATGTCACCTTGTGTCGTACACCTGATGCCAACTTCTGTCGTACGATAGATGCCACCTTGTCCGTACACTAGGTGACCTTATAACGTACGGTAGGTGTCACTTTATGTCGTACACTACGTGACTGGAATGACCTTACGTCGTACAATAGATGTCACCTTGTGTCGTACACTAGATGACCTTATGTCGTACACTAGATGACCTTACGTCTTGCGCTAGATGTACACTAGGTGACGTTGTCTCGTACACTAGAAGTCACCTCGTGTCGTACACTAGATGTCACCTTGNAAAAAAAAAAAAAAAAAAAAAAAAGGACTTGGGTGGGTCTCTCTTTCAACCGTTCATGTTCATGGATGTGCCAACTGAGAGAGGCCCGCTGGTACTAAGGGTAAGATCCCAGTGGCAAAAGCGATTGGAAGAAGTGTCGGAATCTGGACTTGTTTGTGGCGAGGTGCAAACAACTGTAATTGATCTGCGGGGAACACGTCCTGATTCAGGCCCTTAGTCCGATCCTCTTCGCCAATGGGATCTGGCCCTTAGCAGTTTTGGTTGGATCCACCCGCGGGTGGGTAGCCTAAACCGTATGTGTTCATAGTTAGTCCGTATACTATTCCCGTCCTTGGGCCTCGCTGCACTACTCTCGACATGCACAAAAGACAAAAATATTGCCGGTGCATCTTTCCATCTTCTAGCGGAAGATTCACTCTCGTTTTTCGAGAGTGTGCAGCGAGGCCCTTAGCAGTTTTTCGTCTCTGTTCCGAATCCAAGGCCCCGAATACAAGGCCCCGAATCCAAGGCCCGCTAAAAACAATAAAAAAATTAAAAAAAATAAAAATTAAAAATCCACCCACCCACCCACCCACCCAAGTTCGAATCCACACGCTATGGGATTCATGGGACCCGAAAAAAACTGCATTCAACATCTGAAATACTGGTGCATAAATTAATTAATTAATTAAAATTTAGGAAAAAACGGTGCCATTAACGCCGTTAACGCGGTGGCCGAATCCACCAGTACGTCCACCTTTGTAGGTCGTTAACGCGGTGGCTGAATCGGTGCGCGACGGGTGTCCATATGCATTTGCATCAAAGCCTCCCCAGAGGAATGAAAAATGAGGCATTCAGGAAAATCAGAGACAGGGCGTTGTCACACGGCACACGAAACGAAAAACGAAACGATTATATCTTCCCGCAGAAAAGGGCCAGGTTCGTCGGTTTGCTATAAATAGTACCGAGTGGATTTGGCCACTTTTGTTGGGCAGATGCACTCGCTTCGTTCTCGTTTCGTGTGCCGTAAAGACGGGTGCCATTACCCATTAACCGGGGCTAGGTCCCACTTACACGAATTAAGAGATATTGACCGTAGATAGCCGAGATCAACGGTCAGGATCTGGTATTCCTCTTGTGTCTTAGTCGCCAGTGTATGGGTCATGTATGTCATGAATGGTTTTTCGTAGGCCCTGCCGATTCAGATAATTGGAGTCTGGTTCTTGACGCTTGTGTGGATTAATGGTTAATTCAACCATCCTTTCAACGATTGTAACCCCCCGTAGGAATTAATTATACTACCGGCGGGTTGTGTGGCTCGGTTGCTTGCTTATTGAACCTTGGACGCAGATTGTCTGTCACTCTTTTTGTTTTCTTTCTTTCTTCTACTTCTTCTTTCTTTTCTTTGGCTGATGGTTGTATTGAGGTTACGAATCTTGTTTTAGCCGGCTAACCATCTACTTGCTGCTGACGTGCCGAGAATGGCTGCCCCACTTCCACCTAGGGGTTGTTTCACTTGCGGCTCTCTCCACCATTTCTATCGAGAGTGTCCGCAGAGGACCGGTGGTTATCGGTCACCTGTGACGGGTGCTAATGCAATTCCCACTGGGCAAACCCTTCTGGCGTTGCCGGCACATTCGGTGGCCGGTAACTCATTGGCGAGTACTCCAGGTATAAACCAATCGAACGCAGCGGCTCAAGGTGCGGGGTACCAAAATAATGGCTACTATATTGGAGGGCATCAACGATCAGGCTTCTGGAAAGCGAACCAGGAGAGACTCGATGTGGTGTATAGCAAGTATCTGGAGGATAAGGAGAAAGAGACGAAGCAGAAGGAGGAAGAAGAAAAGAACAAACGGATCAAGGAGGAAGAAGAGAGGAGGGGATTGTGGAAAAAGGAACGGGAGCAGTTGGAACTGGAAATGGGTGTTAGGATCGATAAGAAGTTGGAGCTGGTATGCTCGAAGGTCAAGGTTAATGATCAAGCGGAGGCAGGTTGTAGCAGACAGGAAAATGACGAGTTGGTTAGATTACGAAGGGAGAATGAGGATTTAAGGAGGGCGCTATTGGGCGAGACGGAGCCTCAGGGCGATATGGTTAAAAAACTGGAAAGGGAAATAGGCGAGTTGCGCAGACAAGTTCTGAGTAAAGGGAGCCGTGACGATGAGATGGTCGCCCTTAAGCATGAGATCGAACAACTTCGTGAGTCTACAGTCAAGGAGCAAAAGGTGGCTGGGCTGAAGCGGCAGATTGCGGACCTGCAATTGGAGGCAAGGCAGTGGAAAGACGAGGCTCTACGTCCAGGGAACAAGCGTGGCAATATTGCGGTCGCCACACCTGAGTCGAATGTCAGGGCAACTCGGAAGCCGAGATGGACCGATAATCACATCCAGGATGGTGAAAAAATGGAAGGTCGAATACAAGAAGTTGCAGAGTATGCGAAGAGCGGACTTTTGGGAGGTCGAAATATTGAAAAAGAAGAAGGCTAGTGCAGAAGTGAAGGTGATCAAGTTGCAGCAGCAGTTGGGAAAATTAAGCACTAACGATAATGAGGGAGAAAAGGTGCAGCAAGGTACAAACCTCAAGGAACGTTTGGAAGCAGTAGCGATGGCAACGGCTAGAAAAGTAATGAAAGCAACACCCAATCGAGACGGGGTGGCGAGCACTCCTCGGAAGAATGACGTTCCGGAACAAGGATGCACTGATAGGGCCAAGTTTGAGGACGAACAGGTGAAGCTCTTGAAGATGTATCGAAAGTCGACATTGGAACAACTGTGTAAGGAAGCGGGACTGAAATTTGGTAAAGTGGACGAAATGGTGGCCGACCTGGTGCACCACCGAGCGGAGTTGGCCTTTGGAAAAGGTAAAGCTAATGAACCGGCTGAGATTGTCGAGGTGGAGTCGTCTCGAGACGAGTCTACATGCGGCGGTGAAAGTGCTTCCGTCGAGCTCTAGCTTGTTTCCCGAACGTGACGGATTTATGGTACCTTGCTAGGCAATGTAGACAGGATAGGATTCTCTCGGGTAAATTAAAGTCCGTTGAATATATGGATCAGACCCTCTCGCCTATTTCTTTTTCTTCTAAAGTTCGTGACAAGGCGTTCAATGGGTTCTTTCGTCTGGTTGTCATTTGGCTGATTCTGCTTGATCAACTGCCTTGGGCGGTTAAGTTTATATCCTATCTTATCTAACTGTTGAGTTCCGATTATGATCTGGAAGAGTGTCAGGGACCGTTGGTTTATGTATTGGTCTCTCCTTGGGTGCGACACATGTATGTTGGGTCTACTTCTCGTTCCCTCCATGTGAGATGGGGCGAACACGTATACCGAGCACGTAACTCAAAGGTGGTGGACGAGGGGAAACGTAACCACAGGTTGTATGCTTGGCTTCGAAGGTGTGATATCAATCATTATGTGGCTATCCCGTTGTTTGGATGTTCGGCAGGAGATTTGCTTGAATTGGAGAAAAATGTTATTCATTGTATATGTCCTCATCTTAATAGTAGGGATAGGCCTCGCAAGAGGAGGAAGAAGCGACGTGGAAAAAGGGAGCGTGCTAGACGGTACAGGGGTAAGAGGGAAGGCAGACCGTTGGACACCCATCTTACCTTCCATGCTACCTCTGGGGTTGTGTCGACGTCTCTTTCACGGATATTGGAAGACTGTTGAAATAAGAACATTTGTTCAGTGGGGGTGACGTGTGTGGGAGGAGATAGGCTGGCGGAGAATTGGAAGGTACTGAAGCATATGTTTGGTTCATCGGTGATCCGATACAAGGGGGAGGTGGGATTTCTACGAAAGGAGAAGGATGGTTAAAGTCAGGTTTTTACCTAACCTTTGACTGTATTGTGCGTTTTTGCTCAAAGTCACTAATCTTAAAACCTACTATGGTTGTTTTTTTGTCGGAACCTAGATCACGAAGACTGATGCTGACCTGGGATTTACAAATGTTAATTGTTGGGTTTGCTGCCATCCGGTCCTTCTCGGAAAAATGTACTAGGCATACTTTGAGGTTCAGTCTGTCGGGGATAATCCGGAAGCGGTTTGGCGTGAGTGTTCGAAGGAGGCTTACGGTTCCTGTTACCTATGATGATAGGTTGAGTAAGTCGGGTATACGGGATTACTGTGCTAAGTTGATTCTGGGAGCGGACGTGGTTTATGAGTGGAAGTCAATGGTAGCAAGGAGGATGAGAGTGGTGTGGTTAAAAAACAAGAGTATTGGAGATTTGTTGTTCGATTTTAGAACGGAAGCTAAAAGAATGAAGGAATTTGTACTTGTACCAGGTCCGTTGAGGAATTTCCACAGGTCGGGGGACATGTTTGCTTCCGGCTTAATGAGTGGCACGAGACCCTCTCATGGTTAAAGAATAACAAAAATATTCCTAAACCAGGAAAGAGTGGTCTGCTGAAACGATTGCAGCATCAATTGACCGAATCTGTGCAGGGTTTGGATTTCATGGTTGGTCAGTTCACGAACGAAGGACTCATGAGTTGTTTGCAAAAGTCAAAATGGGAGGGAAGGAGTGAGCGAAGGACCGAATCAGTGGGCTTGTTAAAACACCTATCGATCACAATATGGGTGATATCTTGGTTTGTTGTCATACTCTGTATCGGGAAGGATTGCCTAAGTTGTTTCTAGCGAACCCTGGGTTTCGTCGGGTTGATGAGACTGATACGGAGTTGACTGGTCGAATGGGTGAGGAATACAAGATGAGGGGATTGTCAAAGCTCGCTCGTTGGGATGCAAAAGGAAAATTTGGGGATGCTTATGTTATGCCAAAGCATAAGGATATCAGTAAGTGGAGACCAATCTGTTCGTCCTTTGCGGAATGTGGAGTTCGGGCATGCATGAAAGTGTCTAGGATTGTCAATCAAATGGTGTGGGAACTACCTGTGGGTTCTCACTTTAACTTAAAGAGCACCGATGTGCTGCGCGAGGGGTTGCAGAGGATCAACAAGGAGTTGAGAGAAGGGGAAGGATGGTTGACTGCCGCCTATGATATCAAAGAGATGTTTTGCAACCTCCCCCATCAGTCGATTATGCGGGCTGTAGACTGGGTGATGGATTACTCGATATCTAATGATATGAAGGGGGTCATGGTGAAGAAGCAGGGGAAGGGGGCAAAGTTGTTTAGAGGTAAAAAGCAGGAAGGTTGGGAAGCTGTGGATTTTCATTTGGTGCATAACGCTGTGGAGTTTGATTTGCAGAATACTTTTGTGCGGGTAGCCGGTGTTCTTCTTCATCAGACCATTGGCATTCCGATGAGCAAACCCTCTGGCCCAGCCTTTGCATGCCTGTTGTGTGCGCATGCTGAATGTATATTTTTGGCATCACTTGGGAAGGAACGAAGGTTGGTTCATGGGCTGCGTCTTATGGACGACGTTACAATGTTCCTTAAGTATAAACTCAAGGATGGGGACTCAGGGAGAAGATGAAACGGGTGCTGCAGAATTTTGAGCAATGCTACGATCAAAACTTATCTCTGGAATGTACTGATCGTTCGGGGTGTTGGGATTTTTTAGGATGTATTGTCAACGATTTTGGGTACCCGGTTGGCATCAGATGCGCTGACATTCATAAAAATCAACGACGGATTCTACAGGGTCTGACCTTTCGGAATCTGCAGGATGCCTGTTCGTACACCGACAAGCAGTAGAAGATGACTGTTGTGGGTTCCTTTCTCCACAGGGCAAAAAGGTTTGCGGATATGCCAGGGGCGGAGTTGAGTTTCCTATTAATTTTGCTCTAAAGGTGGAGTTGAGACTGCGTGGTTTCAAGGATGAGTTCTTCGATGGGGGGCTGAAGAATTTTTCTCGGAAGTTTGGCGGTATTTGGCAAGATTGGATCGAATGTCTGACGGGTTGGGATAAATTTTGCTATGTGCCCGGCGAAAGTATGAGCAGGTCTGGCAGAGGGACCATGATATCTAGGGGTTATGAGTTGTGAAGGAGTACCTTGGGACGTAAGGCTAAGGGTGAGAAAGGGGTACCTGTAGGCCACCACTTTTTCTTTTTTAGGGTCATTAGTGCCCGGTAGTCCTTCAGACTAGAAAATGACGAGTCACGATTCTAGGACCATTGAGTAGTTAGACCTTCCGTGAGTACTTAAAGTTGACTACGCTGGTTCTTTCATCAATTTGTTATTCGTGACGCAAGACCCCTGAAGAGTCAGGCGCTGGCGGCCAGATGAAACATGTAGGGTCCATCGCCAGTTTGCTCGACGTGTGCACGACGACTATTGGCGTGTTGCCAAACTTTGGTTCGAACCCCATGGGTGTTTCTTATCGATTTTTTGAACCCATCCCATCGCGTTCGGGGTTTCAATTGCAACCAGCGTGTTGGTTTGTGCTCTCTTCTCCCCCCTTTCTTTTCTTTTTCTTTCTCTCTCTTTCCTCTTGTGTCTTAGTCGCCAGTGTATGGGTCATGTATGTCATGAATTGTTTTTTGTAGGCCTTGTCGATTCAGATAATTTGAGTCTGGTTCTTGACGCTTGTATGGATGAATGATTAATTCAACCAACCCTTGGCTGAGAACAAGGAGGAATTCTGCCGCTGCAAGTGATGGCCGGGGGTCTATAGTCCTTGGCCTCTACAACACCCTGGGGCGTGGTCCCACTAGCGAAGAGGATTCAGATGGAATGCCTGAATGTGGACGTGGTTGAGGATAGATGCAGGAAATCGAGATTGAACTGCTTTTCTACATCTATGGGTAAAACACATCCAGATCCAGCCATTATATCTGATCCTCTTTGCGAGTGGGACCTTGACCCTGGGCTTTTATATTATAGAAAAAAAAAAGGAATTCACAGTAGGAAAATCAGAGACATAACTGCTGACCTACACATACACCAGCTACAGAATCCCGAAGGGGCTATGGGAAAACCTCAGTTTGACACATCTATAAGAAGTGTCCAGTTAATGTAGTAGCTCAGTGGTTAGAGCACGGGTTGGAAATGCGCATTGTGGTATGAGGTTGCGGGTTCAAATCCGCAGCCTCGCGCATGGACACCGACAGGGCGTTAGATTGATGCACGGCTGGACACACAACCCCTTGGAATGATGCAGGTTAGCTATTACAGACACTGCTTGCCCACCACCCAAGGGGTAGCTCAAGGTTGTTGTATGTTGGGACTGGGCGATGGTAGGGTATCCTGATGTTCTTGGTCTATGGGTGCTCACGCGACTGTTGGGTGGTTTGTACAGTCTGGTTTACTCGAGCCCACCAGAGTACAACTTCAAACTACTTCACAGTATATGTCAACAGGTTAGGTCATTTGCACGATTCACATGAGGTCCTGTGTTCGATACCAGATTATGACTTAGGGTTGGTCATCCTCCTAGTACGTAGTCAAGGATTGAGGCTGGCACAACAGTTCCTTAGTACGGGATGTCGGGGGTGTATACTGCACTTTACCGCTGGGCCAGAAGGGGCTCCAGGGACATACGAAGGATTGTCTAGCTCTCACAGTTTATCATACAACACAGGGTTCTCCAGGGTCAATAGATACAGTCCATGATCCACGACTTAGGGTTGGTTCTCCTCCTAGTACATAGCTTAAGGGTTGAGGCTGGCATAGCAGTTCCTTAGTATGGGATGTCAGGGGTGTCAGGAGATACCGCACCTTACCGCGGGGCCGGAACGAGTTCCA